GAATGCTCGTCAAGTAAATTTGAAAAAAAAATTAAAATACCTCCAAAAAGTCATATAAACTATGTATGTATAAATCACAGTATGAACATACACACTGGGCACATTTACACAGTCATTAATGAGCCTTAGATACTGTGCATTTACTATTTGCTTAATAAAGTACTAACTAAATGTGCAGTAACTAGAGTTACTGAGCAGTAGCGCCAGCACATGGTTACTCTCTTTAGCCTATTAACACTGTGCAGTAGTGTTAAGGTGACAATATTTGGATCTTGGGGACCACTGAATTTGCAGCTGAATACGAGGCTATAGCCTGTGGCCTAGCAAAGCTGCTAATCACAAGGCAGAATGACAGATTAAAAGTAACATTGCAAGATGCTTAGGCAAGCATTTTCCTAATAATGTGGTAGTGTGTAGGACATATGACTCATTGTGTAAGGAGAACAGGATGCAGCCCACCAGCTGTCATCAGGAGATAAAGCAGAAGTAAGGCCTTAGAGATAAAGGAGTCAGCAAGAAATGGCAAGTGACCAAAAGAAGCGGAAGTCAAAGTCTTAGACATGCACTCATAGCAAAAAGGCATGTAAATGAGTGAAATGCATAAGTAATTCCATGCTAATGAAACAAACAGTAAACAGAGGCAGAGCTTGAGATAGGAGGAAATATGGGTGGAACAAAGGAGGGACAAAGGTGGAGTAAATGTTAATGAGTATGAACCAAGGTGTATAAATGTAGAAAGAACTAATGTTCATGGAGGCTCCCCGGTTTGTTGGAGCTAGTCCAAAGCTGTCTCCATTTTGAATAAAGCTGTTGCGAGCAATGTGTGCTGGTGTTTGCTGTCTGAGCAATTGGATCGTCGTCTTCCTAGTCGTTGGGTGCTGCATGGAGTTGGGGTCTAACAGTAGGCTATTAGCATGGTTTTTAACCATCATGTTACTACGCAGTGTAACTAGGCTAATGCTCAGTAAGCATCTTGTGTAGATGCGTCCATGAGGTACCTATTAGGATAATATCATGGGCTTGCTTAACTTTCCTGACCTTCTTTCTTCATACTTCTCGCTAAAACTTTGCCTTTGCCATATTAAGAATCCTACCAGGTACAATAAATGCTGGATCCAGAAAATTAAGCCATGCTTGTCTTTTTAAACATCACTTACCACATTTGAATCATGTTTGTAATTACATTTCTGCAGGAGGACAATGTTAATTGAGATTTGCCATCTCTGATCTCAAGGGTGTTCATGTTGGCAACAGGATTCCTGCCAACTTCTCACAATGACAAAAATATTTATTGACAAAATATATATCCAATTGGAAACTACTAAACAGCTGAATAATATAAGAAAAAATAGCTTAAATGTAACGATACCATCTATTTCTGAGTTATGAGGCAAAGTTACTATCATGCTATTTGTCATAAACTCAGCTAATCAGTGATGATTGAGCCAAGAAACACATCTCCAAATGATACTACAATTTATCTTCCCAGTTATATGTTACATGATTTTATAGATCATCTCAACACGGACTTTAAATATCTACTCCCAGTTAAATTGCAAATATGGCATCAAACAAAAAAGCTAATGCTTATAAAAATATAACTGTGTAGTACTTCATGAGGCATTCTACCAAGAATGCTAAAGAGAAAACTCATGAGTGGCAAACACCAAAGCAAAATTTGGCTTTCAGTAACTGTTAAGGAAAGCCTGAACAACCTGACAGAAATAAAAAGCAAACCAGTGACTTTATACATGCTTTATATACAGTGCTCTGTGCAGAAACAAGTACTTACAACTAGAGAATATCAACGGGCAAGAATGTTCATCCATTGGGAAATTATGTAGCTGCAGCTGGCATTCTGCATTGATGGTAAGCCTGTGGAAAAAAGATAGGTAGCCGTCACTATATATCAACACAGTGAAAAGCTAAAGGAGAAAGGTTGGGTAACCTTATATAAGAGTTCAAGGTACAACAGGGAAAATTTTAAGTGTGACCATAGAATAAAGGTTTTTATAGATAATTTCCTCCAGACCTTTAATGAATACAGGCTACAAACAGCCTGTGCCTTTAATGAATACAGGCTACTAACAGTTATTTGGAAAAAAAAATATGCTAAGAAGTGTGTGTGGGGGGAGGACACATGTATCCCAAGTTATTTTTGAAGAGTACTGTATGCGTTTTATTTCATATTATATTGTAGGTGTAAGGTCACAACTGTCCTAAAATATTCCTATTTTATGCAATGTTTTTAAATTACTTACAACCTATGCCAGGGTTTTTCAACCTTTTTTAACAAGTGTACCCCTTCTGCCTCAAAGTTCAGCTCATGTACCCCTTTACATTTTTTTCTTGTTTTTAAGGGGGGGGCAGATCTAGGCCCCCACGGTGAGGGAGGGAGGAAGGGAGGGAATGGGGTTGGGGCAGCAGCAGATGCCACACAGCCAGGGTGTAGCATGGGACAGAGCCACAGGAGTGGCTCATCTACGGGGCATGGGGGTGGGGCAGCTCCTGCCACTGTGCGCACCCCAGTGGAGACCTGTTGTGTATATGCCCCCCAGATCTGTGCACAGGGTGGAGGCAGCTGCTGCTGCAGGCTGGACTCTGCACCCTACTGCTGCTGCCCCTAGAGAAGCATGAAACCATGTGCCTGCTGCTGTCAGGGAGGCAGGGGACAGACACACACAGACACACACACACAGATGCAGACACAGACACCCCCCCACCCTCCAGCAGGGAAGTATGTGTTGGGGGAAAAAGTGAGGCAGGGGAGAGGGAAAGGGCTGGAAGGAGGCAGATGCAGACCCCCTGCAGGGGCAGGGGCAGGGGCAGGGGCAGGGGCAGGCGTGAATGGGGCCCAGGTCAAGCCATGAGACAATGGGAGCCTAGCGGCACATCCAGGGGCATGGAGGGGAGGCTCCCACCACTGTGTGTACTGCAGGGGAGCCAAGGGCGGGGCATGTGCCCTCCCAAGTTGTGTGCGGTGTGAGGGCAGGCTGGACTCTGCTGCTCTGTACCTCACTGCTGCTGCTTTGAGAGCAGTGTGACACCATGTGCCCCCCGCCACTGGCAGCTCACCACTGGGCTGCTGCCCACCCAGCGACAGGACGCACGTGGCTGTTGTGCCGCACTTGAAGCAAGCAGCAGCAGCGAAGCACAGAGGGTCTGAATGGCAGCAGTGTTGGGGGGAGTGTGTTTCTGTGCATGCTCCCAGGAGCAGGGCCAGGGTGGGCAAGGGTAGTGGCGCTCCTCTGCTAGATGCACAGGTGCTGCCTGGCTGGATGCAGGGGGGGGAAAGGCTTGCACATGGTGGCCACCGCTGCCACCACCCACCACCCAGAGCCACTGCCACCCTCTGCCCCATGCCACTGCCACCACCACTGCCGCCCACTGCCCCACACTGCTGCTGTTGCTGCTGCACCCTGCTTTCCTACAGCCAATCACCTGTGTGGCTCTGTGGGCTGCTGATGGGCCTCACACCTGGCCAATCGTGTGCCACCCATCAGCAGCCCACGGAGCCGTACATGCAACCAGCTGTGGGAAAGCAGCATGGGGTAGTGGCAATGGCCACTTCATGTGACCTCCCCTCATCAGACCAGGTGGCACCTATGTGGCCCACAGAGGGGTACCATTACCCTCACCCCCTCTCCCCCACCCCAGCCCTGTTTCTGGGAGCAGGCACAGAAACTCACCTGTCCCCCCAGCCACTGAGACCCTCATGGCTCTACAGGAAGGGGGTGGCCGCAGTGCTTCCTTGCTGTTGGCTATTGGCTGAGGGAGGCAGCCAATCAGGAGAGTGAGCTGAGGTGTGGTGAGGAGAGGTGCCATGATGTGCTGCATGGGGTCCTGGGGCATGCTCCATCCCTGCCTGTCCACATGTACCTGCTATGACCTTTCTAGGTATCCCTAGGGGTATGCGTATCTCAGTTGACAACCCCTGACCTATGCAATCGATACAGGGGGAGAACAGTAAAGGCTTCTTGGCATGCCTTCAAATGCATGAGCTCAAACCTCATTCTGGACTTGTGCAAAGGGCTACTGCCAGTCAAAACAGCTGAAAGTAGACACCTGGTCATTTGGGATGAAGAGTCAAAGGAGAGGTGTAAGAAGGCAGCTGGAAGCATGGGGCAACAGGATGCATGGAGGCAGCATCAACTTCCAGCTTCTACCATGCCACTGATATGGCTATACAGCTTGGCAGCAGCTGCTGTTTTTCTGCCTCTGCACAAGCTGGCACTTAAAGCTGCTGCCCTGGTCTCCCCACCATAGTTACACTACTGAGTCAAAGTCTAATGGACATGATGCTTATTCCCTGAATACTATTAGCTATATGTGATATACAAAGAACACATCACGAGGACAAAAGCAAAGGTGAGCACTTGGAACAACATTCTATATAAGCTCACCAACTCAAAATGGGGAACTAACCCCTAAACCATCCGAACCACTGCTCTGGCTCTCAACTTCTCCCCTGCCAAATATGCATGCCCTGTCTGGGAGAAATCCATATACGCTAAGCACTTTAACACTATTCTGAATGATAGCTGCTGATGCATCACAGGATGTCTAAAGTTTATCAGCATAAACATTGTGTACCTGCTGGCTGGCACTGCTCTGCCTGACATCAGAAAAGCAGTGGCCAGAAAGCTAGAATGATCAAGACAAACTGAAGATGTGAGACACCCATTATATAATACACAGCACACAAACATTGTAAATCATGCTGAAGCTTCCTCACCAGCACCCAACCTCTCAATACCACACCCAAGGAGATACAAGTACAGATGTGGAATGAGAGGCTGAAGAAAATACCTGAAAGTGGAAAAATGGGGAGATCTTTGACCAATTCTGATTACCTACAGTATTTAAGAAGAAACATTTAAAAAAGATTTAAAAGATATGACTCACTAACGTAGGCCAACAGAAATGATTGTAAAGTGTTTTTTTTAGCCAACAGTCTAAATGTTTTTTTTAACACAGAGGACACTACAAATTGAGTGACCTTTAAAATTACCATTAAAGCAACAGGGGTTTAGTCCAATAAATTACAAAAGTAATCTATTTAGGAACATAGGCCTTAAAGAGTTCTCCTCATCAAGTTCAGTTTCCTGCATTCACAGGTACTCACTAACCCAAACAACTCCCCGCTTCAAGTCTTCACATACAGCTAAAAGGCCTAATACCTGAAAGACCTTATAACATGCCCTAGGTAAAAGCAGAGGAGATGAAGGCCAATGCCCTACCACTGAAATGCAAAAGGTTGGTTCACTTATGCTCTATGCTACAAAGCAAGGCAGAACTCCTTGCACCACTATAATCTACAGTACAATATCCTTACTGATACCACATTAGACAACTGCCATTACCCTGAGTGGAAAAGTAACACCTTATAGACAGGGATCTCTGTGTTGTCTAAGTTATGGCAGGAGCATCAATGCACTCTATCAAAACCCCCAGCCTTAGCTGAAGCCAGTTTCCCAAGGCTTCTGAGGAAAGGAAACCAAAAATCAAAAAAATCCCCAGAAGCATGTATAATACCGAGTGGGGAGAATCCTTTCTGGTCCAAGTTGGTGACCAGCAAAAGCTCTGAGACATGGAATTACCAGATACTTTCCACATGAGAACAGCTAACTTGTTCCCCCAATGTAAAGATCTGAACACCTAACCCTACATCTCACACAACGATTATTGATCAAGGACTCCTGGTCTATCATCCTTTCCATAAATATGTCCATTTCAATCTTAAAGTGACTCAGTGTCCTTGTCCTCACCACCTTTCTTGGAAGAACATTCCAAAACTTTGTTGTGATAGTTAGAATTTTTTCCTAATTTCCTATCAAAATGTATCCATAGCCATTTGATCTTGTACCAAGGCTGCTTTCCAACCTTAAAATATCTTCTTCCATAGCATTCACCCTAGAAATGTAGTTGTAAACAGGTCCCTTTTATATGCCTTCTCAATATGTTTTACTAAACTAAACAAGTCAAGCTCCTTTAATTATGTTTTATAAGAAAAGGTCTCCACTCCCTCAACCACAAGAGTGGCCTTTTGAACTTGTTCCAGTTGAAGTTAATCTCTTCTGAATGCTGGTGAGCAAAACTACACATAGTCTTCTAAATGCAGTCTTACTAATGCTGTGTATGAAGACACTAGTACTTCTTCTCTCTTGCATGTACCCCATTAAATGCACAGCAAGATTGTGTTAGTCTTTTTTACAGCTGTGCAGCTTATGTTCATCCTACAAGCAAACAATGCACCGAGGTCCCTCTGTTTCTCAGATATTTCCGGTCTGTCCCCCCAGATTTTAACTGAATTCCCTTTTTTGTTTCTTAAGTAAATGACATTGTACTTCTTGCTTTAAACTTAATGTCACTTCTAATGCTCCATTCCAAAAGATTATCAAAATTGTCCTGTACAGTAATAAAGTTCTCTTCTGTATTGACAATAGCTCATCTTAGTATCATCTGCAAATGTCATGAGGACACTTCCAGTTCTAGTACCAAGGTTACTGATAAAAATGTTAAACAGTATTATGTGAATGGTGTTCTTGTCAGGTTTGACCTAGAAACCACTATACCACCAATGCCCAAGCAAAAGTCTCTGTTATATAACTAATGCCCATCTGCAATGATAAGGAGGAGACAGTCTTAGATAAAGGAGGCTTGAAAACAAAAACAGAATCAGAGGACTAGGGCAAAGAGCTAATTTAAATACCAAAAATCACACCCCTAGGTGGGGAGAAAGTATGCTAATAAAACATACATGTATGTAAATGAGATACATAGCTAAAACACAGGTATAGAGACATGCTCAGTAAAGAACTCCTTGCGTCACTCCCTTATAACCAATTAACAAACAAGAATGCTTATGAAGGTCC